CTTCGGTCTCGCCGACCCCCTCTTGACCTTCCCCTGGACCCAAGGGTGTGCCATGCAAATTTTGGCTGCTTTAGCTCTTACAGGGACTGAATGCATAGAGAACAAACATACAAACAAACATACAAACTTTCTTCTTTATATATATAGATACAGGCATTTTGCTCAACCAACGTAAAAGTATCATCGACGTACCGTCGCCAGAATTGGACTTCATTATTATATAACTGATCATGTAATGACTCTTCAAAATGGGCCATGAAGATATCTGTAATCCGGCTAGAGACCACCCAATACTGACTCCATCACTTTGCTCATATAACCGATTGTCGAACATGGAATGTATCTCAGAGGTAATTCTAATAGAGTACGAACATCCTGTCTGTCCTTACATTATTCACATATTGTATTGTTTTTCCACCAACAACGGCACATGTAAGTCATCTTGCATGAGTCGGAGAAAAACAATACATTATGCAAAATGCCTCTATAGATAATATATTAGTATTACTAAATAACTTTCATCCCAGTATTCAGTTTACGTTTGAGATTGAAGATAATAATACATTATCGTTTCCTGACGCTAATATCATCAGAACTGATTCCACATATGATACAACTAGCTTCAGGAAAAACACGCTTACAGATCTAATCATGAAATGGGACTTATATGTCCCCATTTCCTATAAACGCTCAGTCATTACTGTTTCTCATATTCCACGTCCTTCTTCTATTCCTCATATTTCTCGCATTCCTTATACTCATTATTCGAATATGAAACGTACGGAAGTCCATATATGTAAGTAAATAGCTGTGTATAGCAATATGAGAATATGTTTCATACTTGATTTTGTACTCTTGAATCTCAAACATGTATCATGTTCATGCTTGATCATCTTTGCAGTATCATACTATGAATTTTATATTATCACTTTCATAGTGTCATCGTTTCACGGTATCATAGTTGGATATCAGGAGAAGAGCGCGGGGCCGTAGCATTAGAGTGAGTTATAATTCAACATTGCACTCCTTATTCTTATATGGGAAAAATATGAAAGTATCATGTTCATATTTGAACTATGACACTATGAAAACGTCTAACGATGAAATTATGAAAGTGATGGTACGAAATTCATAGTATAATACTATGAAACTATGAACTACGGAAATATGAAAGCCGTATTCATCGGTTGTATACAGACAGTTTTTTCGTCTATACTCGACTATCTCCGGACTGAGAAATTAAATGAAATATTGTCAGTGAGCTACCAAAAGCAATTTGTAGAGGATGCCAAATTTTATCAAATCCGCAGTGTCGTCGAAGCGCTTAAAAGATTTGGTAATAGTAAACTGTAAATAAAGAGCATCAATTAACCTTGAACGCGTTGTGCGACAATTCTGAACAACAATGGTACCTTTTGTATCGAGGTAGTCGAGATGGATTTAATGCCTAGGGATGCGCCCAAGCTTTTTTGATATTTCTTGGAATTTTTTATTTTTCTCTTCAACCAAATGAACAATATTCAATTGTCACCGTTAGATGTACTCAGTCTTTTTGCTCTACAAGAATATGGTGCTAGAACTGATCGATATGATATAGAAAAGAAGATTGTTAAGTGAAACTTTTAATCACGACCCAAGCGTATATTATTGCGCTTGAATGCAGTTATCAAACTTTTCTTTTCTTTTTTCTATTAGCACTAGAACACGCCAATTTTCTCTCCTTTATACAAGTGAATATTCAGTTTAGATGGAAATTAAATAGTAAAAATAAAAAAACGCCAAGTCAAACCCAATCCTGTATTATTAGGCTTGGATTTGTTTGTTTGGTGAGTTAGTGTGTTTTTATTTTTACTATTTAATTTCTATCCAAACTGAATATTCACTTGTATAAAGGAGAGAAAATTGAGTTGATATATACACTGGTACCTAAATAAACGTCTTTGAACCAGCGCTGGACATTCTGGCAGGTACAAACAGATATGACAAACGGTTCATGTCGACTCTCAAAAATGTTAGTATCAAGTATTATACATTTTTAAGCTATTACTGTTTAAAGTTGTTTCACCTTTTTTAGCAGAAAGAATGGTTAAGTCAAACGTTATGGCGTGATAAGAATTTTCTTATAGAATGGATAATTTTGTTCAAAATGAGTTACTTACCGTTGCAGCAGAAACGCAGTAAAATTTTCAAAGTGATGCGATACAAGATAGGCGACCTTACAATTTTTAGAACTTATTTCCGGCTGTGTCTGTACATTCAGTGATCGAGTGTTTTTTGCATAATAAAATAAATATATTAATAAAGCAATACTAGAATAAAAATGCAATAATAAAAAGCAAAAAATTTTTAGAACTAACTTTTGGCTGTTCTAATTTTGTGGCTGCAGGAAGGCAAGAAACAAAAACTATCACATACTTTCTCCTGACAAACGTTCTTCACACATTTCTCTATCGATCGACACAAGAACGAATAAAAACGTTTCTGATGAATCGAGATCCGGGAAGAACATTTTACTACGTTTAATCTGTGATATTGATAATTCTATACCTTTAAAACTGAAGGCATCTTTTTCTACAAAACAGATCAATTTATAGTACAACTTGTGTGCGTCAGATTAGTATAAAAAGTGGAAAAGAGTCCTCTATACTTATTCGAGTTTTAATTTGCGAAGCAAGCAGAATATAGAATAAAATCATAGCCAGCACTACTTCTTTTGAACAGAGAACAAACGAACATGTCAATAAAGATATAAAATCTGCCTCTCCTTATTTTATTCTTTAAAGAGAAATAACGTTCTATGTACATATATACGAGTCATGCTGTATCACGCAAACAATTATACTATTCTGAATGTACAATAATCTCAAGACACGCTTTTCTAAAAAATACGCCAAATTTTCATTTAATCTTATTTTCATGTTTCATTTCCACTTTATTTCATTTTCTATATAAATTATGTGAATATTCACTGAATAACTAAAGTTTGAACACATATTATGATTGATTATCATGACCCGGAGAGAAAGTCGGAAAGTCATGGTAGTCAAAAGGAACAGTTTATCTAAATGCTCAATATAAACGAAGAAAGTATGATTTATTAAACGTTAATCACCAGTATTGAGAGCCACATATCTCAAAAACAAAACGGGATCTTTTTATTCCGAATATGTAAAAATCTCGAGAAAAAATCCATCAGATTTTGATATGCTGTAAGGTAGTGTAGAAAAGCGTGAAATTAAATCACGGTTACCTTAGTGAGATCTTTTGGATGTAAAACATAATCGACTGTTTCTAATATCTATGACTTCCTAACCGCTTTTACATATTAGCAAATGATACGGCCAAAGAGAATTAATCAAAACTGATGATGCGCAAAACTTGATGTGTTATGTATAGTAATAGAAAAAGGCAGACAAATTACACAGTTTTTTGAACAAAGATAATCATATCTCATTTGTGTTTTTTTCAGTTTGATATCATTTTTCCATATCACCAGTTGCCAACCAATGTGCTGCTTCCTTTCCCAACTGTTCTTCAGCTATTTTTTCATATTCACGACAATCTCCATCTGTTAACAGATCTTTCCAACGTCCATTGGTACCTTTGTAAATAAATGTCTTTGAACCAGCGCCGGACATTTTGCCAGGTACAAACAGATCTGAATGTTCTTTCATATAATCGAATGTACAATGCTCGACAATCTCATTCCATTTTAAATCATCATCCGTTTTAATATCCAAAAACTTGGCAATTCTTTGAATTTGACCAGGTAAATCATTTTTCAACTGCTGAAAGTGTACTAAGAGAACATTTGGTTGATGACGTATATTCCACCATGATCGTATATGTTGCCAGAATGGTAAATTTGGAAAGCCATCTTTATTTAGCCAATCATGATAGAATTCAACAACATTTGTCGCTGGTCGCTCATAAGTACTTCCCTTGACATTTTCAAACATTTTATGAGCACTTTCAGATATATTTGAGAAATGATTGAATCGACTCCAAGCGATGTCTCGACCATCTCTAGATATTTTCGAATTACATACAGAGAGGTTAGAGGCGGTTCTTTTCTTTATTCAACTGCGAAAAATTTTGTAGATTTTTCTAATTTTCGCACAGGAGCTGAATTTCTGTGATAAATTGCCGTATTTCAACGGGACTTGGCATTACTTACTGCGAAAATAACGAACGAAAGCGAAATTCAGCTCCATTCGTTTTCTTCGATATCTTGAATTAGTTGGACGTACTGTGCCGTTTTTTGACTTGCATTGTACAATTTCTATTCAATCCGAAGCCGCAATCGGCTTGAAGATATCGAAAAAAACGAACGCAACTGAAGTCAGTTTCATTCGAAAGAAATACAGGCATACACTAAGAAACTTTATCTCGCTCTTGTGCGAAAATTAGGGGGAAAAAACCTCAAAATCTTTCGGACTTGAAATGCAAAAAAGATACATGCGGCTAGTATTTTTCTTGAAAAGAAGAAGATTGAATCAAACACTTACCTTGCAACGTAAATATACTTGGCTTTTGATGAAAATACTAATGCATCGACGGGTAATTGTGTTTTAAGACATCGACGATGCTGTTCCTGTAAATTTTCAGTTGTTTGATTTCGTGATTGTCCAAACGCACAATCAATCCAAGGCGATAATTCTGATACATTTAAATCTGCTTGTCCATTGTAAATTAATTGTAATACGATCTGTTGCATCCATGTTGTACCTGATTTTCCATATGTTGCAACTATAATATCATTATCATGAAACTGGAATGTATTCCAACGCGTTGAATCATAAATATGATTCTGAATTTCACGAGTTTTCTGTGGTGGAGCTGTAAGATCGGACGACATTTTCTTTTCTTGAGAATACAAAAAGCTGACACAAATATATGTTATTTAGTATTAGACAGGCACACTCTGTTTTGTTATATGTTCACTGTTTTATGTACGAATAGTCGCACGCATGCTTGCTCTTACTCTTATCTATTCCCAACAAGTAAAAAAGACGATTAAGTAGGTGATTTGTCATCACAACAATACGAGAACCGTAAAAGCTGAGTCATTAAGTAATTGCATCATCATCGATAAGATAATTTTTACCCTTGAACATTGTATTGCATCATCATCACTGATTCTCAGCCAGTCATCTTTGTCATCTTGAACCACTGATGATGATGCAATACAATGTTCAAGGGTAAAAATTATCTTATCGATGATGATGCAATTACTTAACGACAAAAGTACGAGAACCGTAAAAGTTGAGTCATTAAGTAATTGCATCATCATCGATAAGATAATTTTTACCCTTGAACATAGTGTTATATAGTGTTGCATCATCATCACTGGTTCTCAGTCAGTCATCTTTGTACAGCGTCAAAAGTTGCATCAGCGTTATAAAACGAGTATAAGAAGATCTGCTGCATCTGAATAATTTCTTTTTTATAAGTAACAAATGTGCTCAGATAAAACTTAAAAAAAGGACTCTTTTCAGTAACCTAAAGCTTCTTAAAAATCAACACATTTCGAATAACTTATAATTGACAAGATGTCAGTTATCTAGGATTATCAATCACTCTGTTTGCTGCTGTGTATAACTTTTATAACTCTCTGAAGTTATACCCTTGGAAAGCAAAAGTTGGAATTGGTATTTTATTCATTACGATAGTTTTCTGCCTGACGTTTTTAAAAGCCAATATACCGTTGGATAGCTCGTCGAATTCTCTATCGAACTGTCTATTTTGATGTTACATAGCTTTTATCCTCAGACGAAATACGAGAGTTACACAAACGCACCTCCAGAATCACATTCCCAACTGATCGATTTTCTCATCGCCGTTCCGATTAGTATTTTCAATATATCTTGGTTACGATAAAATCTTCAGAATATGTATTTACTTTTCCAAAAAGATTTTATCGTAACCAAGATATATTGAAAATACTAATCAGAACGGCGATGAGAAAATCGATCAGTTGGGAATGTGATTCTGGAGGTGCGT